ATTAATCAATTGCCTTATTGCACTTGATAGGATCTCTGGTTCGATTTTAAATGGAGGTGGTGAGAGTGGACGCACTTGTTTTGTTTTTGATCGTGAAGAGAAAACTGAATTTCTAACTCTCTCTTTCTCCATTTCTTTCTGTCTATGAACTCTATTGAAGGATATGTAAGACAAGCATGTTCCTTGCTCAATATGTAAAGATGACAATCCCCCTGACTTTAATGTACTAATTCAAAAATCCCAATCTAAATCCCCAGAGGATTTTTCACAGGCCTTGATAAGCTGATTCAGAAATTTATCTAAAGGAGAATGCATGCAAGAATTGCCAAGGAATTTTTGGAAAGCAAATACAATGAGAGGGCTTGGGCTAGATATTAAAACACATTTGTCTTAGGTCAGGTACTTTAGAAGCAGAGCCAAAGACAGAGGTTCTTATTCAGGTAATATTTTTGGGTAGAGGAGAGCAGAGTGCTTCTTTGAGAGAAGCAGGACAGAGCAAGGCAAACGTTTTAATAAATCATGAGGTCTCAGCTAGAGGTTGGCCTCAGTCTGATCCTATGGGGGAACTCTGGAGGACAAAGAACACTAGAAAGCTAGTCCTATTTTGATGACAAGGGGGTCAGCCTGTCCTTTTATATCCTTATGCCAGTGAGTTACACCTGAGGTGTGCCCTGGCTGGGGGTGGGGTGCTGCCTCGCTTAGCAGGCAAGTGGCTCTCATTCAGGTGAGAGTTGTTCGACTGAGAAAAGGGCAGCTGTAAACAATAAGACAAGAGTAACTGGGTGATAGGAGCACTGGCTGGTAGGGGGACCCCAATAGCAATCATTGCAACATGATAGACTTGGAGAAGAAAAGTCTTACAAGCCGGTGTCAGTAACAGACATGCAGAGGTTATGCCAAAACCTGGGATGGGGTGGGAAACCCACTAGCACTCTGGTTCAGAGCTTAATTACTTCCTGTCCTCACTCTAAGCAAAGGAACCATTTTTATGGTTTCTAATCATCTACATGTTTTCTACCTTTGGGACAGTTTTGATACTGGAAGGAAGAGACTGATAAAATAGAAGAATAGAGAGGGGTCCGATGATTGGAGGTTGTGATGACATTGAAAATTAGGTTTAGAGAGAACAACGATGAGAATCTGTAATCAGAGGGAGGAATTTTGGTGTCCAGTAATTTATAGCAGGAGTGGTTCCTGGTGATGACAACACCCAGTGCATGACCATGTGCGTGGGCTACGGGGGGGAAGGGAAGGTGAGGGTCAGAGAAGTGAAAGACAGCACTGACATGGTCTGTGAAGACATACAGAGGAGTGGTAGCTGTTAGGGTAGACAGAAAGACCGTGTGCCAAAGACCAGGGGGCCTCTGGTTGGGGAAAGGGTGCCACAGCAAGATGGGGTAAGTCTCCTAAGGGAATATTGAAGATGATTAAAGGAAGATAGGCTTGGAGGAAGCAAGAGTAGGAAGGGGCCAAGGAATGAGGACCTTGTTTCCTGATCCCAAGACATGAGGGACAACCAGTGAAGACTGGGATGTGGGCCCTCCAAGGAAAGTCAGGTCTCCCTGTTATGCAGAGTGGCAGAGAAAGTGCTTTAGGAAAAAGCAGAGGGCTTATGGAAATAGCTGGGTGGTAGAACAGGGAGTCTAGGGCCACAGAGAAAGGAATTAGAAGACATAAACCGATAGGGATGTGAAAATGCAGAGCATTATTGCCAACTCAAAGATTTCATACCATTTAAAAAAAGCAGCATTTTCATTTTATTGTCATGCAAGGTTAACTCCATAACTAAGTGCTAATTCTTTCCAAACCTTACTTAGTTTGCTTATTTCTCAGTGACAATTAGAAAGTAAAGTTAATTAAATACTATTTTGACTTTGCTTAAAGAACTGTAATCAACATATTTAAAAAAAAAAAAAGCAAATTGTGAGTATTGAGATTGGTGCATACATTACCCATGCCCTTAGAAGCTGCATCACTGAGGTGCTTTTTCAGGCAGACATTACAGGTGAGAGGGAAAAGAAGGATGCCCTTCTAGCTGTTGGGATTTGCTGTTTGGCAACAATGATGAATTTTCACACCCTTTACTCAAGACTAAGGCTGAGAATAATGAAGTGCTGTTTTTTTTGATAAACTAGTACAGCGAGTAGAGATGCTCCAGAGTTGACAGGAAAGACTGGAATTTGGAGGTATGATTTCCTATTGAGTTTCTTTTTTTAAAAAAAATAGTGTTGTTTTTCTAAAATCAGTAAGATTGTGGCACGTTTATGAATTATTGGTGCTTAGCTCAGTGTCTTGTATATAGCAGACTCAACAAATGTTCATGGAGTTAATTTAAATGAGAGATTTCATAATTAATGGGCAGAATATTTGAGAACAAGAGTGGTGTGAGTGTATGTGTTATGTGTTTAGCTCCCTGCCCAAACTTTTCTCACTACTTTTCCTCCTTCTTTTCTAGCAAGCAAATTTTCTTTCATTTTATTCTTTGCATTTGACACCCCAAAATAATGCAACAGCAAAGTTGACTATATTACAGAGACTGGTCTTGTCAGGACACAGCTCTGCACATCTCTGGTAAGTAAAGTACACATTAGTTCAGGTCTTCGTCAGCCTATAAACCAGTGATTCCCAACCTTGGCTGCACATCATCATCTCCTGGGGTGATAAAAATTCTGATGCCTGGCTCCCACCCCAGAGATGCTTAGTTGTCTGGGGACGGGGTTTGGGCATAGACACTTTTTTAAAAAGTTCCTCAGGAGATTTTAATGTGCATCCAAGGTAGAGAACCAGTGCTCTGAACAATTCTTTCCAGAGGATCCTGGATGCCAATAGCGATGAAGTCCCTCTCATGGTCTGTCCCTGGTCATAATTCATTTAACTGGGCCATCTGACGCAGCCCTTTGGTCCTGGACTGAGCTCCTGCTTTTAGTCTTATTTTGTTGTCTGGTTAATTTAGATCTCTTTATGCTTGGGTCCCCCAAAGAATTTGTAAGGGATTTTGGAGAAGATAGAATTCAAACTCTATTCCTCTATGTCTAAGATGCACACTTTCTGAGCTACAGTTCACAACCCAATTGCTGACAACTTCATTTCATGGCCATAAATGAAAGAAGAAGGAAATTCAATGCTTAGTTTTGTCATAAACTTTGCCTGCTAATTTTTTTATTAGGGGAGTCGTCATTGAGAAACCAAAAGTTGTCTCACAGGAAATGCAAATGATGATGAGTAGGCAGAGGCAGAGACAGAGCTATAAATTAAAAATCTCAACTACGCATGTTTCACATGCTTTCTGGCTCCTTGCCCAGCCACGTCGTCTCTCCAAAGCCAAGTAAGTTTTTCCTTCAGCTCCAACTTAAGACTTCAGTGTTTTGAGAACATGGATGCTTGTTGATTTGAAAGAAGTGTTCTTATTGTGCATGACTTTCCTTGGGATGGTTTTATTTAATTCAGTGCCTACATGGCTATGACAATGTATCTTCTTCATCTTGTTTGAAGTAAATGAATTCATTTTATCTGTAAGTTAACCTGCAAAGAATCCCTGAAAGGAAACCCGAGGTTGAAATGGGAGTTTTAACAGAAGATGTGAGATGCCTCAGCAAGGATGAGCCCTTGATAGCAAAAAGCCCTCAAAGTATGTAGCCTTTCAAAAAATTTTATTTTGCATTAATCTCATTCTTGTTTGAGGATTTTTCTAGTTGTAATATAGCAGATGACGAAGATAATATAAAATGTGTTCTATTTGTTTATTTTTGGTAAATATTCATTGCTCTTTAAAAATTAATTTTTTGTGAGATAAAAAAATTAATATGAACTCTGTGTATGTTGCCACCTACAAACATAGGTTCTTTACTCGCCGCACAAGAGGGGCCAAATAAAAACTGGAACGCCAGGCTTATGGCAAGGAAAGAGTTTTCATTTGGGATGATATCAGCTGGGAGATGAGAGTGAGCCCTCAAATTTGTCTCCTTTCATTTCATCTCCCTGAAAGATGAGAGGCCAGGGGTTTTAGAGGTTTGTGAGGAATGTGGCTGCTTGTAGATAGGGGGGAGTCAGAGGCCTTGCTGGTTGGAGCTTTCCCACCAGCCTGTGTTCAGCCTTGGGAGGCTGCTTGCAGGAAGGAGGAGGAGATGGTAAGGAGTCCAGGTGGATGACCTTGGCTGTCTGTCTCTGTAGTGGAGAGTGGATTCTGGAGCCAGGGAGCCAGGGAGTAAGCAGGGAATGAGTGCTTTGGTTTTAAACCTGTATATGCTGGGTTTAATGTAGCGGAAATGACATCAGGGCTGGCATGATGTACAAGCCTGCAACAATATAGAAAAGTATAAAGAAGAAATGCTTTCACCCCGACTTAACAATCCAAAGCCAGAGATATGTCATTGCCCATTAGCGAAAATTCAGCCCAGGGTCAAGTTTTCATGCAGTTAGGAATTGGGATTTAAGAGAATTAATCTATCTTACCACTCTCTGCACTGGATTTGAATCAATTGAGAAGTTGAAAATATCAGAGAAAAATGTGACTGTTGGCTTTACTATCGTGAGGGCTCCATTGGAGAACACTGCTTGCACCTGAGGCCAATGGGGATTCCTAGCCTGCCCCTTGCCTGGTCATGAGCCTAGCAGCTGGACAAGCCCAATATTGCATAGCCAGAGATGGGCCTGCCTGAGGGAGCTTAGCGTAGGGAGGAGATGGCCTGCAGGCAGAGGCAGGAAGGTTCTGATAGAGAACAAGAGAGAAGAAAACCATTTGAGGCATTAACCCTGCTCCTAGGTGAAATGAGAACTGAGAACCACTGGATGATGTCAGAATGATTATCTCTGTCAAGAGAGGGTCAAGAGAAGGGTTGAGAAGTGGGCAGCAGTGGCCTTTCACCAACAGGGTGAAAATCTCTATTTTCTGGATCAATGCAGGAAGAAGAAGAGAAGCAGGAAGGGTTCCTGTGAATAAAGCAATTCAAATGAGTGACAAGTGCTTGTCTTGTTTTGATTGTTGTTGCTGTTCTAGAGCTCACTAGAATCATCATGGATTCACTTGGTGCAGCAACCATTCAGTTTGCCATTGATCTTTTCAAAGAGCTGAATATAACAAAGGATGGCAACATCTTCTTTTCCCCTGCGAGCATCTCAGCTGCCATCGGCATGCTCCTCCTAGGGGCCCGAGGAGCCACCGCCACCCAGCTACAGAAGGTAAGATGGGCTTCCCTTGCTTTCCAGACAGAGAGTCATCTCCGGGGGCAGCCTTCTAGCATTACCTTGAAAATATGCTCCTCTTGACCGATGGGCCAGGAAACAGAGAAAGCATATGAAGACATGGAACAATTTCAGGTCTATTGGGGAAGTCCTCTTCCCTCTCCAAATACCGCCATGCCTTCTGCTCCCTGGTGCTTGAAATTGCTATGAGCAGGGGCTGGGTGAGTGGCCTTGTCCAAAGCCATCAACCTCCTAATTAAGGATGAAGCATGAAGAAGAAAAACTACTGGGAGATGTTGCATAATCCCCACTAGGGTATAAATGACACATCAAAGATGAAGATCTGAATGGATAAACCAATGTAGGCTCCTCTGAAGAGATCAGTGGGCAACCCAGACTTTTTCATGGTTTTGCAAGGAGAGAAATGTTACCTGTGTACCACTGAGGTTTCTTTAAAAAACATCCAATTTCCTCTGAGTGATCCTGTGTGAGGTTGTCTCTGCTCTGATCACTGCCATAATATTTTTTGTCCCTTGCAGGTGCTTTGCTCTGAAAAAGACATAGAAAGCTCAAGAATCAAAGCTGAAGAAAAAGAGGTGGGACACATGTCTTACAACCTTCAGTATGGTTGCTCTGTAGAAATGGGCTCACTGGGGGGATGTGCAGAAGAGGTAATACTTCACGCTTATTTTCAAGCAGTCACTGCAGTCAAATAAAGTTGGTAGGATTATACAATAATAATAAACCCTTAATGTTAAGAAGAAGAAGAGACATTAACTTTAATGTGCACCAACCACTATGATATATGCTGGTACAGGCTAATAGACTGAAAGTCCCTATATCAGAGTAGATGAGTTTTGAAATTAAACAGATTTGGGTTCAAATCCTGGCTCAGCTATGCTACTTTGGACAATTTATTCATCTTCCTTGAGCCCCTGTAAAGTGTCCAGTGGAGTGTCTGGAATGCACCAGTAAGTCACCCAGTGGTTGTCATGGTAGTCTTAGGTGATATTATTCCTACATTTCATTTTTATTTTAAGTGCCCTCTGCTGATATTCCACTTTAAAAAATACTAGCACAGGACCAATGACTTCCTGGGGTCTCTTCAAGCTCTAGGGTTGTAGTATTCCTCACCCAAAGGATAGTCTGTGCAAACATGGGGGAGGGATTAAGTCCATAGGTGAGGATTGGCATCCAAAGACGGTTAGAGCTCTCAGGAAGGGCATACTTGCCCTGACAGCAGTCCTAGTCCATTCCCAGGCCCTCATAAAATCATGGCTCAAATCACCAGCAATATGAGCTGTTCATTTCACAATCCCACATGGTCAGGTTGTCTGGGTGGTTCAGTTGCATATATGGAGAGTCAGCCTTCCTTCCAGAGTTTGTACAACAGAGTTGGGTCAGATAACTGCTGTGCTGTCCACTCAATCAAGGAGCACAGTTGTTTTCAGAGCACTTTCCTTTCCAAGCATGGTAGCCTATATAGAATCTTTGCGCAAATTAGAAAAAGATACACCCCCTAGGACAGATGCCCCTCCTGGCTGAAGAGCTTCGTGACTGAGGTGAGGGTTGAACTTCAGCTTTGTGCAGGGCACAGCCTGTATGACTCTGTGCAGTAGCTCTGTCCATTCCCCAGGATTTTTCTGGGAGTCACAGCGGTATGAAGAAGATTAGAATTCTTCCTTTTCTCTTTTCCTCTCTCCTTTCCTTTCCCCATTCCTCCCTCCTTCCCCCCTTCCTTCCTTCCTTCCTTCCTGAAATGACCTTATATAAGCCTTGTAGTTTACCTGGATGGCGGTCTCTCTAGTCCTGAGCTATCAAATATGGTAGCCATTCAAGTGGCTGTAGAGTGCTTGAAATGTATCTAGTCCAAATTGAGATGTGCCATAAGTATAAAATATGCACTGAACTCAAGAACTTGGTATGAAAAAAGAATGTTAAAGGAAAACTGTTTTTATACTCGCAACACTGACATCAAATGTGTGGGTTTTGTTGTCACATTAAATAATTCTGATGCTAACTACCTGGAGTTAGTGCAGATCCTACAGGTGAAGAGCTGAGTCCCACAAGACTTTCCCCACTTCAGATGCCAGGCACAGGCAGTGGGTTCCCAGGTTACCCACACTTCCGTCTGACTTGGCTGCAAATCGGAGGATCCTATGACCCCCTCCTCAAGTTCAATAATTTGCCATAATGTCTCTCAGAACTCAAGGAAACACCTTACTTTTGTTTACTGGTTCATTTCAAAGGATACAAATGAATTTCCAGATGAAGAGGTAGATAGGGTGAGGTATGAAAGGGTCCCGAGCACAGGAGCTTCTGTCCCTGTGTTTTGGGGTGCACCACCCTCCCAGCACATGGATGTGTTCACCAACCTGGAAGCTCTCTCAACAATAAAAATAGGGATTTTTACTGAAGCACCATCACATAGGCATGATCGATTATTAACTCAATTTCCAGCTCCTCTGCATTCCCTGGATGATGAGGTATGAGGCTAAAAGTTCCAAACTTCTAATACTGGTTTGGTCTTTCTGGTGACCAGATCCTACCTTGAAGCTATTCAGGAGCCCACCAAGAGTTGCCTCATTAGAACAAAGGGTGCTCCCATGACTCAGGAAATTCTGAGGGATTTGGGAGCTTGGTGTCAGGAACTGGAGTCAAAACTCAAATATTAGAATACAAGATGTTCCTAGCACCCCTGTCACTCAGGAAATTATGAGTTTTAGGAGTTCTGTATCAGGAACTGGGGACAGAGACCAAATACATATTTTTTATTATGTCACAAATGTAAAAATCTCATTAATTTTTTTTAAGGTTTTATTTTTTTCCTTTATCTCCCCAAAGCCCCCCGGTACATAGTTGTATATTCTTCATTGTGGGTCCATCTAGTTGTGGCTTGTGGGACGCTGCCTCAGCGTGGTTTGATGAGCAGTGCCATGTCCGTAGCCAGGATTCGAACCAATGAAACACTGGGCCGCCGCAGCGGAGCCCGGGAACTTAGCCACTCGGCCACGGGCCAGCCCCAAAATCTCATTAATTTTTATCTGTAAATTTTGTTGAAATAATACCTAACACATTGTATTTTAATATATAATTATTATAGTTATATATTGAAATGGTGATCTTCTACATTTAGTTTGATAAAATGTAATATTAAACTTGATATCACTTATTTCATTTTACTTTTAATAATGTAGTCACTAGGAAGTTTAAGATTGTGAATGTAGCTCAGAATTGTGGCTCACGTTGTATTTCAATGGGACAACGCTGGTCTATAATATGCATCTGGGAGGTAGGGTGTATGCATGTTCAGCTTTATTGACTATTACCAAATTGTTTGCCAAAGGGATTGTACCAATATCTATCCCTCTCAGCAGTGTATACAGGCCCATTTCATACAGCTGTGCAGAGAACGTGGGACCTGAAATCCCACTGACCTTGCAATCCCTAGTCATCCAGATTCATACATACATACATACATATGTATATCTTTTCTGTATTGTTGATGACCATATGATTTTTCTGTCTGTTAATGAAGCAAATTATATTAATAGAATTTCTAATGTTAAGCCATTTTTGTATTTGTGGCATAATCAACTTGGTCATGAGTTTTAAAAAATTTTACATTATTGAATTGGATTTGGTAATATTTTGTCAGGGTTTTAAAAAATCTCTGTTATAAACAAGATCAATCTGTAATATTTTTTCTTGTCCTGTCCTTGTCTAGTTTTGGTATCAGAGTATCACTAAACTCCTAAGATGAGTTGGGGAATGTTTCCTCTTTTACTGTTCTCTGGGAGAGTTTGTATAAATTCAGAAACACACCTGATATTCTGGGAAGAATTTGGATTTAAAACTGCCAGCCTGTTGATTGTTGATTGACTGATTGATTTCTAATTTCTGTTTCTATGATTTTGACTACTTGCAGTACTTCATGTAAGTGGAATCATGCAGTATCTATTCTTTTGTGACTGGCGTATCTTGTTTACCATAATGTCCTTGAGATTCATCCATGTTGAGGTGTGTAACAAGATTTCCTTATTTTTAAAGGCTGCATAATATTCCATTGTAGGTATACACCACATTTTCTTTATCCATTCATATGTTGAAGAACAATTGGGTTGCTTCCACCTCTTGGCTGTTGTGAATAATACTGCAATGAACATGGAAATGCAAATACCCCTTTGAGATCTCACTTTGAAGTTTTTTGATATATATTCAGAAATATGATTGCTGGATCATATGGCAATTTCATTTTTAGATTTTTGAGAAACCTCTGTACTGTTTCCCATAATAGCTGAACCATTTTACATTCCCACCAACAATGTTCAAGGTTCCAAATTCTCCGCATTCTCACTGACACTATTTCCTGTTCTTTTGATAGTGGCCATCCTAATGGATGTGAGTTGATATCTCCTTCTGGTTTTGATATTTGCATTCTTCTTGTGATTAGTGATGTTGAGTATCTTTTCACATGCTGTTGGCCATTTGTATATCTTCTTTGATGACTTGTCTATTCAAGTCCTTTACTCATTTTTTCTTTGGATTATTTTATTGTTGTTGCTGAGTTGTAGAAGTTCTTTATATATTCTGGATATTAACTCCATATCTGATATACGGTTTGCAGATAGTTTATCCCAGTCCACAGGTTACCTTTTCACTATGTTGATTGTTTCCTTTAATGAGCAGAAGTTTCTTAGTTTGATGTGGTTCCATTTGTCTATGTTGCTTTTGTTGCCTGTGCTTTTGATGTCATACTTGATATATCATTACCATCCACAATCCATAAGATTTTTCCTTAGGTTTTCTTCAGGGTTTTATAGTTTTAAGTTTTATGTTTGGTTCTTTAACTCATTTTGAGTTAATTTTTATATATGGTATAATGTAAGGGTCGTACTTCATTCTTTTGCTTGCAGATATTCAGTTGTCCCAACATCATTTGTCAAAGAGACTATCCTTTCCTCATTGTGTAGTCTTAGCACCCTTGTTTAAAACCATTTGGTCATATAAGCAAGGGTTTATTTCTGGTCTCCATATTCTGTTCCATTGGTCCATATATCTGTCTTTATGCTGGTACCACACCATCTTTATAACTGTTGCTTTGTAGTATGTTTTGAGATCAGGAAGTGCGAAGTCTCTAACTTCACTCTTTTTTTTCCAGATTGTTTTGTCTATTTGCTTGCCTGAGATGCCATATGAATTTTAAGATATTTTTTCTATTACTGCAAAACATGCCATTGAGATTTTGATAGGGATTGCATTGAATCTATACATCACTTTGGGTAGTGTGGCTATTTTAACAATATTATGTCTTCCAATCCATGAACATGGATTCTTTCCATTTATTTGTATCTTCTTTGATTTTTTAAAGCATTTTTTTGTAGTTTTCAGTGTACAAGTCTTTCTTCTTCTTAGTTAAGTTTATATCTAACTCTTTTATCCCTTTTGATACTATGGTAAATGGGATTATTTTCTTAATTACTTTTTGGATTGGTCATTGTTAGTGTATAGAGATGCAACTGATTTTTCCATGTAGATTTTGTATTCTGAAACTTTGTTGAATTAATTTAACAGTTTTTTGTGGAATCTAGGATTTTCTACATATAAGATTATGTCATCTGTGAACAGACACGAATGTACTTTCTTTCTGATTTGCATTCCTCTTATGTTGTTTTATTCTCTAATTTTCTTCTTCTGGCTAAGACTTTCAGGACTTTGTTGAATATATTGAATAGTAGTGGTGAGAGTGGACATCTGATTTTATTATGTTGATTCCTTCTATTTCTAGTTTGTTGAATGTTTTTATCATGAAAGGGTGCTGAATTTTGTCAAAAGATTTTTCTACATCAGTTGAGATATTCATGTGGCTTTTGTCTTTCATTCTGTTAATGTTGTGTATTACATTGATTGAGTTTCATATGTTGAACCATCCATACATTCCAAGTATAAGTCCTACTTGGTTATGGTGTATGATCCTTTTAATGTGCTGTTGTATTTGGTTTGCTAGTATTTTGTTGAGGATTTTTGAATCAATACTCATCAGATATATTGGTCCATAGTTTTCTTTTCTTATAAGCTTTGTCTGGTTCTGGTATTAGGGTACTGCTGGCTACATAGAATGAGTTTGAGAATGTTCCTTTCTCTTCAAGTTTTTGGAAGACTTTGAGGAAGATTGGCATTAATTTTTTTTAAATGTTTGGTAGAATTCTCCAATCAAGCTATTTGGTTCTGAGCTTTTTTGTTGTTGGAGGTTTTTGATTACTGATTCAATCTTCTTACTAGTTGTCTGTTCAGATTTTTTATGTCTTCATTATTCAGTCTTGGTAGGTTGTATGTTTCTAGAAATTTATCCATTTATTCTAGATTATAATCATTAATAGTAATCTCTCATAATCCTTTTTATCTCCATGACATTAGTTGTAATGGCCCCTCTCTGATTTCCAATTTTAGTTATTGGAGTCTTCTATATTTTTTTCTTAATTGGTCTGGTTAAGGATTTGTCAATTTTGTTGATCTTCTGGAAAAAAACCCCAACTCTTGCTTTTGTTGATTTTTTTCTATTGTTTTTCTACTCTCTGTTTTGTTTATTTCTGCTCCAATCTTTATTATTTCCTTCCTTCTGCTAACTTTTGGTTTAGTTTGTTCTTTTTCTAGTCCCTTGAGATGTAAAGTTAGGTTGTTGGTTTAATTTGTTCTTTTGACTGGACCATGTTTCCGTGTCTTTTTGTGCCTTGTTATCTTCTTTTGGGACTTTGGCATTTGGAAAATCAGCCACCTTTCCCAGTCTTTGTGGTTTGGTTTAATACAGGGAGAACGTTTTCCAATCAGCCTGGCTGGAAATTCTGGAGACCTCTTAAGCATTTTCTGGGGATGCCTCCTGTCTGGGCTTGTGCAGGTAATCTCCTAATTGAAAACGTTTGCTGGTTTTTACTTGGGAGCTCCCCTTGGTGTCTCTCTGTGATACTGCAGACTCTAATGCTGCTGATTGCCTTTGTTGTCAGTGGTCAACCTGGTGCTCTGTTCCTGTCAGCAGTTTGATTGAGACAAGACAGAAACCAGTCTCTCAGGCAGCCTCCAGAAAAGCCAGAATGGTCGGTATACATTCTACTCTTCTGTTTCTCTCCCCCAGGAGAAGTTGGGAGTTTTCTCCCAGTCACACCATACTGTGTTGGGGGAAGGAGCTCTGGTGAATGAGTCCGTGAATTTTTCTACTGGGCCTCGATGCAGTTGGTTCATGCTCATCTGGGGTACAGGGACCTTTGAACTGGTTTCTGGATCTTTTGCAAAGGCATTTGGTTCTTGTACTGGTGTTAAGTCAGCCTCTCCAGTCAGGGAAGGAGGATCTGGGGCTTCTTATTCTGCCGTCTTGCTTACATCTCTCCTCAAAACTTTCTTTAGTAAAGATTGACACATGGCAGATGCTGTCAGGTTATATTTGCCTTTGTTTGTTCTTGAATGAATATTTAACTGTATTTTGAATTCTAGATCGATATTTCCTTGCAACTCTTTGAAGATACCATTCCACTCTGCATTTCTTATGTTGCTGTTAAGTTTGTTTAATTGGCATTCCTTGATAGCTGATCTACCTTTGGCTGCATTTAAGTTTTGCTGCTTCTTCTTGCTGTTCTTGAATTTTACTGCAATGTGTCTAGGTGTGAATTTCCTTTATTCAACAAGACTGATTTACCATGTTTTCTGAATATGAAAATTCATACTTTTCAATTCTGGAAAATTCTCAGCCACTTAATTTTTTAAGTAATGCATTTTCCCCATTCTCTTCTTCTTGCCTTTTGGAAGGAGTTTAGAATTCGTATTGTATTTTCTAGATTTCTTCACTTGTCATACATGTTTTTTATCACTTTTTGTCTTTGTGCTGCATTCTGAGAAAATTATTCAGCTCTGTATAGTTCACTAATTTAGCTATTCGTAATTGTCTATTGTCCCATCTATTGAGCTTTTAATTTCAATGTTTACTGAATATTTATGTATAGAAGTTCTAGTTGATTTATAAAACCAACCTGAAAATTGTTGATAGTCCCTGGTTCCTTAACCATATTTTCAATATCTTTTCAGGTTGACATTCTCAATATATTGCTTTTTAAATGTGATATTTGATAATTCCAATATTTTAAGTCCTTGAGGGTCTAACATGACTGTTTGCTATTTTTGTTTCTGATTCTTGATGTAGGACTTATTTTCTAATGACGTAATTTTGGAATATGAACTAATATTTGGCTGATAATTTATGCGGGTCCAGTGAAATCTGGAATATAGTTATCGTTCTAGTATAGGTAATTTTTTTTCTTCTGAAATAAGATCCTGGGGTGTTATCAACCCAAGGTCACTTTAAGTTAATTTCTTAGTACGGGATTTCCCAGGCCATAGAGATGGTATAAATTCTAACCCCAGACCTGTTTGACAGTAGCCTTCCCTCCCTTTCCCCATTTTTAGATCAACTCAGTCACAACTGGCCTACTGGAGAAACACTCCCATTACATCCTCCTCTTTATATCAATCTGTTATTCACCAAAGGCTTCAATACTTTGATCTGCTCACATCACGTATCAGTTAAGCTGAGCAGCCATAAAGTGATCACTTGCCCTTTAAAGGCTCATAGTAGCAAGGAAAGAGCCAAAGGTCAAATTCAACTTCAGATATTTTTTTAGAGCAGCACATTTTTACATTTTCACTTTGAATGTCTTCAAATGTTGATTAATTATTCACAAAAATTAACTAATTGTTTTTTTTTAAAGATTTTATTTTTTTCCTTTTTCACCCCAAAGCCCCCCAGTACATAGTTGTACATTCTTCGTTGTGGGTCCTTCTAGTTGTGGCATGTGGGACGCTGCCTCAGCGTGGTTTGACGAGCAGTGCCATGTCCGTGCCCAGGATTCGAACCAACGAAACCCTGGGCCGCCTGCAGCGGAGCGCGCGAACTTAACCACTTGGCCACGGGGCCAGCCCCATAACTAATTGTTTTTTATGTGCCAGATACTACTCTAGCCATTGGGTAACCAGTAGTGAAATAAAGAGATAAACAACAAAAACCCATGGGCTTCATATTCTGGAGGAAGAAAGCCTTTCTGTTCTCAGTGCAATCACGAATAAGCCTTTCAGGTCAAATTTAAAATGCCTCTCCCCTCTCCTTTGCAACCAGTGTGAATGGAAGCAGCCACATACATGTCACTCAACAGGCAATGCGACTGTGTTCCTCTTTGTTTCAGGGATGTGTGCTGGGTCAGCTGGCTCTGCCATGGAGCACTCACTCCTCAGCCCTCAATCAGAAAACTGATGGAGTCTACAAAAAATGTCCAGAAAAGTTTCCTCTTTTTTTTTTTTTTTCCCGCAGAGACAAGGAAATCTCACTTCAGCCCAAAGTATAGCTCTGACAAATGGCTACTTATACCATCAGGAGTCACTTTTCTTGTCCACTATCTGGAACAGAAATTGCCAAACTTTAGAGTGGATAAGAATCATCTGAGGAGTCATCTGCTTTCCTCAAGTAGTTAGCTTGTGGTTAGCTAAAAACAAGCATATAAAACATTTAGTGGGAAATTACAGCTGAGATAAAAATGCACCCCAAGCCAGAAAAGCAAGATCTGTGGCATTGGCCGGCAGAACAGGCTTCTTTGTGGAGCTGAGATGGATTGTGACTTACGTTATCACATGATTTGTGTAAAAGTCACCTGACATCCAGGGGCCACACCAAACTCGTGGGCCACTCTCAAGACTATCAAACTGAGAGAAAGACCTAGCAGCCCTGTCTCTGAGGGAGAATCTAGGCTCGCTTTTGACAACATAACTCTGAGGTTTTGTTTTGATTTTGAAGATTGAGAAGAGAGAAGAGATTCATCACCAATTCCAAAAGTTTTTGACTGAGACAAGCAAACCCACTAATGATTATGAACTGAAAATAGCCAACAGGCTATTTGGAGAAAAGACCTACCTCTTCCTTCAGGTAAGTTTTGCTGTGTCCACCACATCTGTGAGTGGTATTCATAAATGGCCAAATGCCCTTGTTAGGATTGTGGGTTCTGGAGGCATGCTGCCTAAGTTGACTGCCTGGCTCTGCCCACATCACTGGGTGTGCCCCCTGCCTGCTCTCCAGACATCTAGTTTTTTGGAACTTTTTAAAAATCCTGGCAGTCTAAATCTGATTTTTGCCTTAACCCTATTACACCTGCATAAAAATGTGCACGGAAGTACTCAAAATGATTTGCCCAGGTCCTAAAAATCCCTGATTACACTGTGAGTCATTTCGATGTACAGATAAATTTAGGCAGAGATGTTGCAAAGTATAAATCGAATTTTCAAACTCTTTCTGTTCCTTCCTTGTTTCTCCTAAAGAAATACTTAGATTATGTTGAGAAATATTACCACGCTGCTCTGGAACCCACTGATTTTGTAAATGCAGCAGATGAAAGTCGAAAGAAGATTAATTCCTGGGTTGAAAGCCAAACAAATGGTAGAGTATGGTCATTCATCATAAAAGCGCTTCTTGAGTACTCACTGTGAGTGAAGCCCTGTGCTTGACACTGCTCAGGGTGCCAGGGTAAGAAAGCTTTGGGAGGGGACTTGAGATGGAGTCTCAGGGTTGGAAGGGCAGGGCTGGGCATGGGGGGTATGACAGAGGGCACTGAACACGGTGGAATGTTCTCAGCAAATATATTGAGAGTCAAGGGGAACCAGGGAGGGGACCATAGGAAGCCAACTTCATGGAAACACAACACTTAGTGGAGAATTATTTGCACATGCTGTGGATTACAATGTTTTTGGGGATCCTGAAATTGGTTTCATGTCTGTCTTGGGTTCACATTTTTTCTTTTATATCAGAGCCTTTCTTTCTGAGTCTGAGTCCCTAAGTGAGAGTGTCATAGAGGGTTTCCTTTCTCTTTGTCAAGTGAGAAACGTTCAGCTCTCCCGTCAAAGCCTGCCTTTGCTACCTACAGCGGAGCTTGCCTAGGCCTCATCTCCACGGGAGCACCATGCGGGATGATAACAACTTTCACCCCATCCGCAGCAGAGAACTTGGCAGAGGCCTCACTTCATCCTCCTCTCCTCATCTCCTAGTATGAGCCAAACACACAAGAAATACCAGAGAGGAACGCTGATATGGAAAATATTTTGGGGAGCAATACTGATACTTTAGTATTAGAGTTTCAGATTACATTTTTTATTCCAGTTATCAGGGAAGCATCTCTTATTTCAGATTGCATTTTTTTTTTTCACGCTTAGTCCAAAGGAAAAAAAGTGTCTTCAAAGGGTTGATTGAAGGCAGTATTCTCCAGAATTTAGTGCGAGTTGGGCTAAACCCAGAGCCCAAAACATCAGCTCCTTTTCCAATAAAATAAGTAATCTCTAAAGGTCAGGTGGTAACTATATTGAATGGGCAAAAATAATGATAGCTAACGCTTACTGAGCGCTTATTATGAGTTGGGTAGTGTTAGAAGTGCTTGACGTGTATTAAGTCAACTCTTTTCAACAACCCTATGAGGCAGGTTTTATTCCTGTTTTACTGATGTGGAAACTGAGGCACAGAGAGCTTAAATCACTTGCCCAAGATTCCTCAGTTGATAAGAGGCAAAACTGGATGCTAGCAGAGGCAATCTGATCCCAGAGCCTGAACTCTTACGTATCACATTTCAATGTATCCAATGGGATAAATAGGCATTGGGCGAGGTGAAAATGTCCTTACCGATTCTGCTAGCAAACGCGTTGTTGGCAAGGCCTTCAGGCGCTGACGTGGCTGAGTTCACAATGATCACTCAAGTCCATCTGCATTGTATGTGCCACGCATATTGCTCATAATTTTGAAGATGGGCCAATTTTTGTTGTTTGTTTGCAGAAAAAATCAAGGACCTGTTTCCGGATGGCTCTATAAGCAGCTCCACTAAGTTGGTGCTGCTGAACGTAGTTTGTTTTAAAGGGCAATGGGACACGGAGTTTAAGAAAGAAAATACCAAGGAGGAGGAATTTTGGCTGAATAAGGTTTGGTCCTTTATTTACAACGTGTGCTGTGCTTACATGTGGGATGTAAAATCTAAAGTCATATTTGAGCAAGTGTACATGGTGGATAGCGAATGCAGATTCTGAGGCTCTGATCTTTAACATGATTTTAGACCAAGCTAATTATTTTGGTGCGCTCACTTGGTTGTCTTACGTCTCTGACATTGCGTGCCCTGTGCCTTTGTTGCAGAGTACAAGTAAATCTGTGCTGATGATGACACAGCGCCATTCCTTCAGTTTCACTCTCTTGGAGGACTTGCAGGCCAAAATTCTGGGGATTCCATATAAAAACAATGACCTAAGCATGTTCGTGTTGCTGCCCAATGACATAGATGGTCTGGAGAAGGTAAAACCTTGCATTGCTCCAATGTTGCTTTCATTTCCTGAGGCTTTGCATCCCAAAGCTTGTTCTGGGTGAGCCTGGAAACAGGGCTTCTGATTTGGAGCTGGTGTCTGGCAACACCAAGTAGAAAATATTTCTCACTCTGTGCAAAAGCAAAGACAGATGGGTGTCTAAAGAGGAACATTAAAAGTTATCAGGTTTATTGAGAACAACCAATACTAAAATATTTGAGGATGAGCTAAAATGAACGTTTAAGGACACATGGGAATTCTAAAGATCATCCACCATTCTGAGAGATGGTTGATCCGGATGGACCCTCTTTCCCAGAAAAAAATTACATATGCACATGCACAGCAAATTTTGCGTTCATGCTTATTGGACCTTTGGAATTTCTTTCTTAGACTTTTAATCTTTTTTAAAGGCAATTTTTTTAGAGCAGTTTTAGGTTTACAGCAAAATTGAGAGGAAGGTACAGAGATTTCCCATATACCTCCTGCCCCCACACATGATAGCCTCCTCCCATAATCAATATCACTTACCAGAGTAGTACTTTTTTTTTTTTTTTTTTTTTTTTACCAAGGATAAACCTACGTCAACACATAGTAATCACCCAAAGTCCACAGGACCCTTAATCTTGAGCCCCTGGATTTAGTCCCACCCACTTCGCAGTTAAAAATTGATATGGCTGGTATCCTGTAGTTTTGAAATTAGGAAGGCTTTGTTTCAAATCCCTGTTCTTCTAGTTAGTAGCTTTCAGTCCTTTGATGCTTAACTTCCTGGAATGCCAATATTTTCCCATCTATAAAATGGGCTCCATAGTTCTTAATGTATAGTATTGTAATGATTAGAAAATATATAGAAAAAATATATATACAGAACAGGACCCAGTATTGTAATAATATAGCATTTATCATTTATTGAGTGCTTTCCATGTATTGGACCCATTCTAGGAGATATCTTAAAATAGGTCCAGGACGTGGAAATTACTCAATAAATGGCAGATGTTATATTGTTATAATACTGGATACTGTTCTGCTACTGTGAATCATCTCTAGTAGCATTATATGTTGGAAAGTATTTTGTCACAGTAAGATGGCAGTATATATAAAAGCTTTAAGAATATTCATACTCTAACTCAAAAACCCCAGTTGTGGGAATTACCCTAGGGAAATAATCCAAAAGAAAAAAACTGCCTTTCTGAGTGAAATCAGTAATCTCTGCATTAAATACACTAGGATACCTACTTTGAAATTCATGATAATATTATTTTTGTATCTACAGTATCTATCAGCATTTATCATAATGCTTAATGCATACTAGATGATTAAAGTGAATGAATGGATGAATGTTGGGTAAAATTTATCAACTTGATGAACAAAAGTTTACATTATAACAAGTAAAATGGACATCCACTGTGATTGCAACATGTAAATGTATATTACATGTTTACATATATTATAATATATTATAAATTGTATAATATATATGCATATAAAGACTAGAGAGGAATAGTAAAAATGAAATATGTATTAGGTTGCTAGAATAAGAAATGTCTTATTTCTTAAATTTAAAAGTTTATTTAATACTATTGAATTTTCATATATACACAGATAGTTTAAGTAGAGAAATATATTATATTAAATGCTCTATAAAATGAAGAGTCTAATGAAATGAAATTTTTACTTTTGTTTGTTACTAAAATTAGTAATTTCCTAGTGATAAAATCAGTATTACACTGTTTAAATTTGTCTCGATAATCATACCATTCTTCCCTCCCTTTTTTTCCTTAATAGATTTTGGATAAAGTAACTCCTGAGAAATTGGTAGAGTGGACTAGCCCAGGGCATATGGAAGAAAGGAATGTGAATTTACACTTGCCCCGGTTTGAAGTGGAGGATAGTTATGATCTGGAGGCCGTCCTGGCAGCCCTGGGGATGGCGGACGCCTTCAGTGAGCACACAGCTGACTTCTCGGGGATGTCCTCACGTTCAGGGTTGCATGTCCAGAAGTTCTTGCACAGGTCCTTTGTGGTGGTAACCGAGGAAGGTGTCGAGGCTGCAGCTGCCACCGGCGTGGGCTTTGCTGTCACATCGGCGCCAGATTATGAAAATTTTCACTGCAACCATCCTTTCCTGTTCTTCATCAGGCACAATGAGTCCAATAGTATCCTCTTCTTTGGAAAATTTTCTTCTCCTTAGGACAGTCAATGCCTTGGCAGAAAACTGGTGTTGGAGTATCAATACCACTATGGAAATAGCCCATTCTTTTAAAATTTGTTTTACTTGTTTGCACACCGTCTTACCATCAAAACTGATGTGACTGTAGTAGGGTGTGTGCGTGTTTTAAATTTTCCTTAAAAGTGAAATGTCCTTTTGTTTGTGCCATGCACAAAGTGTGTTAAATCAAAGTTCATTAATAATCTCCTGTTGATTTCTTCTGAAAGTAAATCAATGTCCTGTAGTGTTGTGCACTAATGGAGAGAAACATCTCTTCAGTAGACTGTGGACTAGTGATTTGGGGAGTCCCTCTGGTTCTAAGATTTTGGCGTGTTATAATATGCAAATAAAATAAAACAATAATTTACTCAATTCACGTGTTACTTTTTTCATTCTCAGCAGATAATGTTGCAAACAGCAAATATGAAAGAGATTTTAGAAACCTATTAGCAAAGCATAAATTAAAACTGAAGGGCCAGAACAAGATGAAACAGTATACCAGACAGAAAGGATTCCCGTATTTTCATCCTCTATTCCAACAGAGTATGTTATCCATTGTCCGTTGCATAAGCATTTTGATACTGTGAAATAAACATGACATTTGAGAAGATAAACATTGTAGCTGATACACATTCCTATTCTGTCACCTTTTTAGGTGACAGTAAATATTTGGAATGACTTTTAGAAGAGTGAATATTTTCCTTTCTTTTTTTTTTCCCATTTACATATTTCTGGTTATTTTGTGAGTGAGCTGTGGGTATTACCAAATGATATTTTCTTGCAGATACTTTTTGAAAGACTCCGAATCTACCGCTGATGCTCTTTATTGAGGGCCAGCTTTACTTTGATATTTTCAAATTTTAACAAGATCCCACTACTGACATTTTTTAACATCATTATTGAGCTATAATTTACCTACCAGAAAATCCACACATTGTAAATTTACAATGTAATGATTTTTGGTAAATTTCTAGAGTTGTGCCTCTATCATCACAATCCAGTTTTAGAATATTTCTATCACCTTAAAAAGTTTCCTATGCCTGTTTTCACCTCTAGTCCCAGGCAACCGTTGATTTGTTTTGTCTTTATAACTTTTTCTTGTATTTGACATTTCATATAAACAGAATAATAAAATATGTAGTTATCGTATCTGGCTTCTTTCACTTAGCTTAATGTTTTTGAGGTTTGTTCTTGTTGTAGCGTGTACTGCTGAATAGTATTCCATTTCACTGAAAGGATAAGTTCTGTTTATCCGTTTACCAGCTGTGGACATTCAGATTGTTTCCACTTTTTGGCTGCTATGCATAATGCTTCCATGAACATTTGAACAGAGATCTTTGTGTGATCATACGTTTTTATTTTTCTTGGGTGGATTCATAGGAGTTGCTGGGTCATATGATAAGTTGTTGTTTAGCTTTTTAAGAAACTGTCAAACTGTTTTCCAATGTGGCTGTATAATTTTACATTCCCACCAGCAAGTATAAAGTTTCTAGTTTCTCCACATTCTTGCCAACAACTAGTATTGTGTTTATGCTTATAGCAATTCTAGTGGGTGTGAAGTGGTATCTCGCTGTGGTTTTAGTTTACATATACCTAATGACTAATTAGGTTGAATATTTATTCAAGTGCTTACTTGCCATTTGTATGACTTCTTTGGTAAAATGTATATTCAAATCATTTGCCCATTTTTGAATTGGATTGTTTGTCTTCTTACTATTGAGTTGATAAAGTTCTTAATATATCTGGCTACAAGTCCTTTATCAAATACTGGATATATGAATAATTCCTCCTACTTTATGGTTTCTTTCCATTTTCTTATTGGTGTCTTTTAACTTTTTGAAGGATAATTTACTTACAATGAAATTTCCTATTTGAAGTGTACAACTCAGTGGTTTTAGTATGTTTACAGAGTTGTGTAAACATCTGCACTATCTAACTTTAGAACATTTCCAACACCTCCAAAAGAAACTCCACCCCATTGACAGTCATTCCCATTTCTTCCTCCCTCAACTCATGGAAATCATTATTCTGTCTTCTATCTCTATCGATTTGCCTATTTTGGACATTTCACATAAATGACATCATACAATATGTGGCCTTTTGTAACCGGATTCTTTCACTTAACATAGTATTTTCAAGTTTATTCCAAGTTATAGTGTGAATCAGTACTTCGCTCCTTTTTATGACTGGGTAATATTCAATGGTATGAATGTTTCAGATTTTGTTTATCCATTCATCAGCTGATGAAAATCTGTATTGTTTTCATTTTTTGGCTATTATGAATAATCCTGCTATGAATATTTTGTATGGACACATATTTTCATTTCTCTTAGGTATATACCTGGGAATGGAATTGCTGGGTCATATGGTATCTTTATGTTTCTCATTTTGAGGGAGTACCAAATTGTTTTCCAAAGTAGATGCATCATTTTACAGTCTCATAGCAATGTGTGAGGCTTCCAATTTCTACTCATCTTTGCCAATACTTTTTGTGGTTTGTCTTTTTAATTTTAATTTGAATCACTACCTTAGTGATTGTGAAGTAGTATCTCATTGTAGTTTTATGGTATCTTCTTTTTTTTTGGTGAGGAAGATTGGCCCTTAGTTAACATTCTTTGCCACTTTTCCTCTTTTTGCTGAGGAAGATTGTCACTGGGCTAACATCTGTGCCAGTCTTCCTCTATTTTGTATGTGGGACACTGCCACAGAATGGCTTGATGAGCAGTGTGTACATCTGTGCCTTGGATCCAAACCAACGAACCCTGGGCTGCTGAAGTGGATGGAGCATGTGAACTTCACCACTATGCAACCGGGCCAGCCCCCATGGTATCTTTTTAAGTGTAATTAGGGTCTAATTTATTAATATTATCTTTGAAAGATCATGCTTTCGGTGTTGTATCTAAGAACTCTTTCCCTAACCCAAGATTACGAAGATTTCCTCTTGTTTTCTTCTGGAAGTTTTATGGTTTTAACTATTACATTTAAGTCCATGGTCCGTTTGTGGTTTTTTTTGTTTGTTTTTGGTGTGTGTGTATGTGTGTGTGTGTGGTGAGGTAAGAGTCTAAGTCTAGTTTTTTGTGTATGGATATATAAACATCACACACGATTTCCTAAAAAGATAATCCTTTCTTTATTGAATTGTCTTGGTACCTTTATCAAAAATAAATTAACCATATTATAAAGTTATATTTCTGGGCTCTGTTTCCTTCTATTGATCTATATGCCTTCTGAAGTGTCAATACCACACTGTCTTGATTACTGTAACTTTATAGTAAGTTTTGAAATCAGTGATTGTAATTACTTTGTTCTTTTTCAAAATTGTTTTGGTTATTCTCAGTCTTCTGCATTTTCACATAAAGTTTAGAATTAGCTTGTCAATGCATTTAAAAAGTCTCTTGGGATTTTGATAGAAATTGTCTTAAATTTACAGATCAATTTGCTCAATATTGAGTTTACCAATACATGAATATTGAATATTGAATCTCTCCATTTATTTAGTAATTTCATTTTTTTTTGAGTTCCAAATTCCAATTTTTTTTGTAGCAGTAACATTGGATTATAAGATTATATAACTTTCAGGTGTATGTTGTAATGTATTTCAAATTCTGTGTAGATTACATCATATTCACCACCCAAAAACTAATCAGAATCCAACACCACACGCTTGTGCCTAATCACTCCTTCCGCCCTCCTCCCTGCCTCCTTCCCCTCTGGTAACCACCAATCCAATCTCTGATTCTCTGTGTTTGTTTGTCTTTGTTTTTATGTTCTACCCATGAGTGAGATCATACGGTATTTGACTTTCTCCCTCTGACTTCTTTCACTTAGCATAATACGCTCAAGGTCCATCCATGTTGTCACATATGGCCAGATTTCATTGTTCCTTATGGCTGAGTAGTATTTCATTGTGTATCTATACCACATCTTCTATATCCATGCATCCCTTGATGGGCACCTAGGTTGCTTTCAAGTCTTGACTATTGTGAATAATGCTGCAATGAACATAGGAGTGCATGTATACTTATGCGTTTGTGTTTTCAAGTTCTTTGGGTAAATACCCAGCAGTGGAAAAACTGGATCATATGGTAGATCTGTTCTTAATTTTCTGAGGAAACTCCATACTGTTTTCCATAGTGGCTGCACCACTTTGCACTCCTACCAGCAGTGTATGACGGTTCCCTTCTCTCTACAGCCTCTCTTACACTTATTGTTTCCTGTCTTGTTAATTATAGCCATTCTGATGGGAGTGAGGTGATATCTCATAGTATTTTTGATTTGCATTTCCCTGATGGTTAATAATGTTGAACATCTTTTCATGTGCCTGTTGGCCATCTGTATGTCTTCTTTGGAGAAATCTCTGTTCAGATCTTTTGCCCATTTCTTACTTGGGTTGTTGTTTTTTTGTTGTTGAGACTTATGAGTTCTTTGTACATTTTGGATATTAACCCCTTATCCAGTAAATGGTTTGCAAATATATTCTCCTAATTGTTAGGCTGTCTTTTCATTTTGTTGATGGTTTCCTTTACTGTACAGAAGATTTTAGTTTATTTATTTATTTATTTTTTTCTATTGTTTCTCTTGCTTGGTCAGACACGGTATTTGAAAAAACGCTGCTATGACTGATATCAAAGAGCATACTGCTTATATTTTCTTCTAGAAGTTTCATGGTTTCAAATGTTACAGTCACGTCTTTAATCCATTTTGAGTTGAGTTTTGTGCAGGGTGTAAGAAAATGGTCTATTTTCTTTCTGTTGCATGTGGCTGTCCAGTTTTCCCAACCCCATTTATTGAAGAGATTCTCCTTTCCCCACTGTATGCTCTTGGCTCCTTTGTTGAAAATTAGCTGTCTGTATATGTGTGAATTTATTTCTGGGCTCTTGATTCTGTTCCATTGATCTGTGTGTCTGTTTTTGTGCCAGTACCATGCTGTTTTGGTTAATATGGCTTTATAGTATATTTTGAAATCAGGGTGTGTGATATCTCCAGTTTTGTTCTTTTTCCACAGGATTCCTTTGGCTATTCGGGGTCTCTTGTTATTCCATATAAATTTTAGGATTCTTTGTTCTATTTCTGTGAAAAATGTTGTTGGAACTTTCATAGGGATTGCATTGAATCTATAGATTGCTTTAGGAAGTATGGACATTTTAACTATGTTAATTCTTCCAATCCAAGAACACGGAATATCTTTCCATTTCTTTGTGTCTTCCTCAATTTCTTTCAACAATGTTTTATACTTTTTGGTGTACAGAACTTTCACCTCCTTGGTTAAGTTGATTCCTAGGTATTTTATTCTTTTTGTTGCAATTGTAAATGGGGTTGTATTCTTAATTTCTCTTTCTGCTACTTCATTGTTAGTG